ACACTATCATTGCAATGTGTTTACCAGACAGACAGATTGTGAGTTATCAATGCACAAGAATATTTGTAACACTGATTATGAAATAGGAGAAGTATTAATGGTGGAGTTATACACTCTGGGAGTTTGTCTTCAAATCTTTTTTTTCTAAATTTTTATTTTGTCTGTGAAAGCTGAGACTCTTTTCAGAACAAAGAAGCTACTACTTTGTATTGACTAACCTCTAATCTCAGATTGCAGTGGAAAGGGTTCTCACCAAGAATGAATAGCTGAGCTAGCTCTCCAAAACTCCTAAATATTTCTCTGAATACTGAGATATAAAATTTGAGATTTTATTTAGCTTATTTACCTGGAAAGGGCTTTAGAGTTTGAAGAAGAGTGCTGACTCTGACCTCAAAATAAAAACATATAATACATTTTATTTTTCACATGAATGTTCATTTATGTCTATATATACACACACGCACGCACGCGCACACACACACACACACTCATTACGCCAATGAAGTTTCCCATGAAGTACAGCAGGATATCACCATACCTTAATGGGGGAAATGAAAGTTAATATATGACACAGGACTTAGATGGAGACAAATGCTATGAATTCAAAAAGGATTCAGAGTCAGACAACAGAAAAATAGAGAGATCAGTGTTGTAGTCAGGGTTAAAGCTTTGGCATACCAACTCCACAGCCCTTCTAAGAGGTGATCTGTTGATGCTATTCATTTCAATGTTATAAGAAGAGAGTGTTGCATTGCTTCTCACTTTTTGTCACTTTATAAAAACAAGTAAAGAAGAGAATGGCATAAAACTTTAATTTGTCCTTGTAATTGCCTCCTAAAATACCTTTAAAATAAAAATGGGAAGTAAGCAGAAAATATTTATTGACATGTCAGTAAACTATTTTTGTTACACCCTCATTACCCACATACTCAACCCTGCCTCAATAACACTACCTATAACCTATTACTTCCCTACAAAACTGTTTCCATTTTGCTATACCTAATTTACACTCCTTAATACCATGAAAATGGTACAATCTGGCACAAAAATGCTATAAAATAAGTTGACTGTTGGAATTTTCCAGATTCAGCGTTTACTCCATTAGTCTCCAGGGTCTTCATCCTCAAATTCCTGCTTTTCATGAAGCTGTTCAAGGGTTTCAAATCCAGCACAAGAGCACAATTATGGCATTTATTCAATATTTTTTTCTGTGCTGAAATACACAGTTTTAATGCTTGTGTCAAAACACCTTGGCATCATTGTTTCAAGATAGAGATCCTACAGACAACCAGCGAACACTGATTGAGGAAGGTAACCCAAGGTCACTTACATCTTTAAAAGTTAAAATCAGCAGTTCGATATAATTTTTACGGTGGTAGCCCTACTGTAATGTAAGTAAGCCACTACTTCTAAAGCCATATGACTCTCAGAGAGGCACACTTCTCTATACTTTGTTTTCATATAGCTGTATAAATGTATGTTTTGTTATTACACAGCTTACGTCTCCTTTATCTAAAATGTATAGGACCACGGGTTTTTCAGATTTCAGTTTTTTGCATTTTTCAGAATATAGTTAATCCTTCACATTCACTGGGGTTAGAGGCACAGGACACCCGTGAAAAGGGGGAAAATGCAAATAAAACAATTGCTATTGTTTTATTTGGGGAAATGCCTCTCTAGAATGAGTCTATGATCAACTTCTGCTGGATGCTGACCACAAAATTACATCAGAGGACTTAGAGATTCCCAGAAAGATAATTGTAATCAAATCAATGTATAATCACCTCCACAAAAGTCAAATCAACTAATGTGGAGTGCTGACTGTACCTGTATTTGCAGAATGACTGAGGGATTGAAAGGAATGCTGCTGAAAATCTCAGTGCGTGCTGAGATTTTCTTAAGAAACTTTTACTCCACCACTGATGGAGGCAGAGAAAGTGGGATGGATTCCAAGTCAAGTGCCTTGATTTATACAAAGCCCCTATAAAAAGCAAGTATCAGGAGAAGGAAAAATACAAATGCCTCCAGCTGCCACAGTCAAGAAGAATACTGGAAAGCTCTAGCTAAAGTGGCATACTTGTGTATCTTTCATTAAATTATCCTCTGGATAACCATGTGACCTATGCTGAACTGAGCAATCTAAGCAGGATGTCAAAAGAGCATAGATACCTTGTACAATAAGAGCCCAAAAATTGTGAAAGCTGTATCCCGTGCTTCGGAAAACATGGTCTCTCTAGGAATTTGCTAGGTTGTCCAGGCAAATTCTATGATGTGCTTCCTCTGGAAGCTACAACGGAGTTGCAATGGAAGGCATAGCAAATTCCTAGAGACGATACTTCCCCACATATCTCTACGTCCTCCAACACAACATATTGGTATGGTGACATAGAAAATCGGGCAATTTAATGGCATTCATTCATATCCACAGTTTCAGGGTAACCATGGTCTGACCAAGATTATAATCCCTGTGGACATAGGGTCCTACTTTAGCATATGTTAGCATAGAAAAGCATTATTGAATTAGGCCGGGACCTACAAAGTTCAACGAATAGTTTTCCAAAACAGCTAACCATATCTCTCTGAGAAGCCCATGAACAGGAACATAACTAAAAAATCTCTGGGCTTCATACCTGCCTTTCAATGGAAAACATTCCAGTCCTTCTCTTATAGTGAGTAAAGGGAGGACGAAACTGCACTCACAATAATGCCAATAAATATGAACCATCATTTCCATCAGTTTTCATCTTAAAATGAATTGTCTTATTTTTACACTGTGCTTCGCACAGTCTGGGCAATGCCTGGATGGAAACATAAATTATCATTTCCAGGAAGGTTCTAGGAGTTATACAGTAGTTCAAAAAAGGTAACTTTATCAAGTTCTGCAATACTAGGCATTTCATCAGTCTGATAGTAAACTCTACGCAATTTGTTTTCAAAGTTGGATATGGTTAGTAACTCCATTTGTAGAGCACTGAGGAGATTTCAGAACTCTGAAAAACCATCTCCTATTTCAAAGCAGGACGTCCTGCCCTGTATAAAATGCTGTGCTAACGTTCTGCCTAAATACAAAAGCACCGTTGTTCCCAAAAGGACATGGAGTCAAGTAAGCTTGAAGCAGAGTTATTGATGCAAACTCTTCCACAGACCAAGACAGGGTTATTTAATAAAAAGAGGATATGACATACGAGCAGCAAGAACGCAAAATACTGGGCAGACTCTCTACACTAGTGGCATCAGGCTAAAGAGATTAGAGGGATTTAGCAATACAGAGTAAATAGGATTTTCGTAACAGAGTACAACCAGCCACAGCTCAAAACAAGGCGGAGTGTTGTAGAATTAGGGGCTATCAGCAGTCCCATCACACAGCCAAGAGTGGAATGACACAGAAACAATCAGTCAAATCTACCATTATTGGAAGAAACAAACAAAGCTACAGCTGGAGAGCTGCAGAAAGAGTATACAGGACTAATATTCCCTTGTTCTTATTCTAAGCACATGTAGAGTTCATTTGGAGTTCAGAACCTCCAAGGCAAACATCAGAACATGGCACATACTAGAAAGCATCAGTCATGCTCTCCTGAGCCAGACAGCCAAGATCACAACTAAAAGCCAAAGGGAACGCCTAAAAAAATTCTGAAATACTAGTCAAAGAGAAGGAAACAGATACTTTAAAGCCTTGGACATTACTGCCTGGCTTCTGTAAAACCAAAAGATTTTTGGCAGTCCTGTGCTGCCCACGTACATATAGACTAAAAATACAGAATGCAGCTCAGTTGCATTGAGCATCATGTTCCTAAGAAGAAATCTCTCAGCCTCCAAATCTAGCTCTTCGTAAACAGTATTATTTTTATCAAAATGTACCATGCAATCTACATATCCAAGAAATCAATGTATACTTATTCACTTTGCAATGGTTCTCAACCTGTGGGTCCCCAGATGTTTTGATCTACAACTCCCAGAAATCCCAGCCAGTTTACCAGCTGTTTCTGGAAGTTGAAGGCTAAAACATCCCAAAGAACCACTGACTGAAGGCCTTTTGTACAAGCTATACCCACACTCCTCTTGCTACTTCCATCATTTGGTTTATACACCCATACGAAGTCTGGGAACATCTCTTATGTTGTGCTGTATTTAAATATGTAACATAAATGGTTGCAAGTCTCATGTTCCACAGTGTCATATATGTCATAATAATATTATAATAACAACAACTTTATTTATACCCCGCCACCGAAGGGACTCGAGGCGGCTAACATGAGGCCAAGACCAAGAATTACAATAAGGCAAAATAAAATACATACAACAAACAATAACATCAAATAAAATGTGAACAATAACCAAATAATACAATAAAGTAACGACAATAACATAATAACACATAGTATAAAGTGAAAAAGAATTATTAAACAAAGCAAGCTGGGCCAAATGCATCTAACTTTCAAAGCTCTAGAAAAATCTAGCTTCCTTAAATTTCTCCAATCTCCCTAGCTAAGTCTGAAAATATACCAATAACAGTCAGAGCATTTTAAAGAAATAGTTCAGCATTATTCATAAATCACATTACACACAGTGAGAACACAGGAAAGTGACTGATAAATGTAATCATTTAATCAATTAAGCAATGAATAAATCAGGTAACTGAAAATGTCTTACTTGGCCACCTTACACAAATGTCCTTTACAAACTCTGAGAAGTTTAATGAGCAGGATCCTATTGTTTTTTGTTTAATTTGGTTTTTTAATTTCATTCTCTGTCTCACCTCCTACCACCACCAGCACATCTGAAAGGGTTCATTTACTCTGAAATTAAACCCAAGAGGTTCACTATTCAAGTAATCACTAGAACAGTGGTTCTCAACTGCTGATCTTTCAGATGGTTCCTGACAATATGGACACTGCACGGGATTATTGGGAACTGAAGACCTAAACATCTGGAGGGTTGAGACAGCTGCTCTAGAACATCCATGCACCTGGGATCAGAATTAGGAAATATGTGCTTACTTGAACTGATGATGTTCCCTAGAGCTGCGAATCTTCGAAGAATATCTTTCTGCCAGTTTTTCCAGGTTCCTGGAGTATTCCAGTTCAATCTCGGCCTTTCTGCGGAAAAACTCCTGAAGGTCTTGAAGGAGCTGCAACCGGGATTCAGATTGTTGTTCTAAGCATTTGAACTGTTCCACCAACTGTGTACGAATTTCTAGGTGAACAAAACAGGAAACAAAATGACATTATTAAACATTAAGATTGCAATATATATGGAAATCAACCTCTCACTTTCTATTTGTCTAATACCTTGCCAGATTTTTTTCAGATTTTGGAATACTTTTATTCCATCTTGGAGTATGAGATCCAAGTCTGAACACAAAATTAATTTATGTTTCATATATACTTTATACACATAGACTGAAGGGAATTTTATACACTATTTTAGACATTAACCACCAGAAAGCAAGGGCATCGTTATTTCAGCCACCCATGTGCACAATTTTGGAGTATTTTGGATTTCAGAATTCAAGTTAAGGAATGCTCAACCTGTACCAACTTTCAGGAAAAATAGGAATAATCACACAAGTATTTCAAAAACCAAGATGTTCTTAGCTTTATTCAACTTCTGCTGATGTAACTTTCTTATGTGGAAAGAAGAAAAGCAATACTAAGGAAATTTCGAAAGTTGGCATGAGCACAGAAACAAGAGAAGAGTAAGAAGTCTCAATCCATGTAGTGAACTGCATTTACAGAGCACTTACAACTCAATGAAGTAATGAACTAAAAGCTCAACTATCATTCCAAAAAACCAGAAAATGCTATAATGCGGTGAGTGGTTTCAATACAACTCCTGGAGATTAGGGTTTGTATCTATCCTGCTCTGCAGTTGAAATGAACTGGGTTTCATCCTGGGCATTTTATTCTCTCAACTTTACTAAAGGCAAAAGCAAGCATCCTCTGAATACATCTTGCCAAGGAAACCCCAAGTTAGGGTCACCATAAACTGGAGGCAACTTGAAGGCAGGTGGCAACAAGAAAACCCCATGTCTTTAAAAACTGCCATGATAAGATGATGTGTGGGCATAGCATAGGACTACGAGAGAAAAATGCATCTGCCAAAAATTGCTACCACTATCAGAAATGTACATGAATTAAAGGAAGCAGCTGCCAAGCCAAACACAGTTCATCCGAAATACACAAGCATTTGAGTTGTAAAGTCCAATAGAAGGCTAATAAAATTCAAATGGAAAAAATATTCTTGCCATGGTCACTCTGTAAGCATGCCATGGTTAAGAGAAAGATCGATCAATGAGCATGAATGAGACAGTTCCAAGACCAAGAGAAAGTGAATTTATGATATCACAAACCTTACCCCTGAACTGACCTTCCAGTCCCAGGAAACACTGTGGCCATACTGTTGTCATTTTTTTTTATAAGAATGTGAAGCACTTGGGGCTTAAACCACCTAGAAAAAGAAGTACTTTATCCCACACACTTTTGTTGCTTGGCGGCAAAGGCCACAAACCAGATTTCATATCTAAGCACCATGGATGTTGTTCTTTCCTCTCTGATTGACAATAGGCTCATAGATCATTGCCCTCCATAGCCAATACAGGCATGGTTGTGCCACTGGCTTTGCATGGCAGCCACTCCCTTGGGAACACCATCCTTGTACTCCCGCCTTATCCATGCAGTTTAGCCATCAAATAGAATCATGACAGGACAGAGATTTTCCCCTCTGGTGGCATTCCTTATACGCTTTACTTCTGGAGATATGATGTACTAATACAGAACGTCCTTCAGTCAGAACGTCTGCAAAAATCCATAAAAGCACAGAATAACAGAACTGGAAGAGACCACAAATGCCATCCAGTCCAGCCATACAGGAACACCAGTCAAAACAATAGTTTCCAGGAGATGGTGGGGGACAGGGGATGAGAGGAGTAGCATCAACAGGACTTGAGGTATATACATTCAGTCCTCCACATTCACTGAGGTAAGGAGCACAGGATCTCTGGAAAAGTTTAAAATTTTTAAGTTTAAACGTTTTTTTTAACTCTAGGAACTTTCAGATCTTCCAGCACGACTCTATGGTCAACTTCTGCTGGAAGCTGAACATAGAATTGTATTAGTTGAGAATCCTAGAGAAAACAGTTTAATCAAATATGTGAATAATCCTATCTGCAAAATCAAAACCACAAATGTTTTTTTTTTATTATTATTAACATCCTATGCCACATTTTCCAGGTTGCCAAACCTTCTTCAGTTTTTTAAAATGACCAGGAGACCTTCAAAAGGCTTAAAGGAGTTGTAAAGGAATTCAATAGTTTTCAGTTTAGCTGTACTTTGGTCTTTAGTCAGCAAACATTTCCTTTAAAAAACCTAAATTCAGCAACTTTTGGAGTGTGCACTGACTTGCACAATGGCAGCTTTTCATGGGGCGTATTGAGATAAATTTCTTCTTTCCCATGGTGATATTTATCAAGGCCTAGCTTTATTCAGTAGTATCTGTCATTTTAATATGCCCTCTTTAGCAAATCAAGCTGTCTTCATGATATATCGCCTTGCAGATCAACAGAAGAGAATTGTTTCCTTTTGACGTTTATCTGTTGCTGCAAAAGACCAACCACTTCTCCTCTCTATCTCCCCCTTTTAAGCCCTTTGCATAATGTAAGAGAGGCCGCAAATCCCTTACTGTGGGATTGATTCTTGGAAGCCAAACAATCGCAACCAGGAAAGAAAGGAAAATTAACTCTTAGTCTCTAAATACAACCGGACTAGCTGCTAAATGAGCCAGTAGGACATCTGAATTACTGGGTGTGTTGATATAGCAAAAGAAAGCACCAGGGCGGCTGAATGTCTGGAATGTTTATATGCTATTTTTCTGAATGAATACTAGGAGGGGCTTCACCTCCACCCAGACATTTATTGATGGGAGGAGTTTAGTTTCCCACACAAAAGAATACTAGCATAGATGTGAAATGAGGAAATCAACGTGGTAGAAAAAGAACAAAGATAAATCCTTCCTAAGAAGATGCTCCACACAAGAATGCCAAAACTTACTAAGATCATGATCTTCTGTAGTCAGCCTTTGGAAAGTTCATTCATTATATTTTTCTGAGGATTATTTTAAACAATAATGTATTGCCCTGGGAACATTCACACTTCAGAAATAAAGTGCTATTATTCCACTGAGAAAGTTATGGTTCCATCCAAACCAATTGCAAAACCAACTGCATGAAAATCCCAGCTTTATATTTCCTACTTCTCTTTTTGGAGGTGGAGCTTATACTACTGGAACATTTTCACAGATGGTTGCTTATTTCTTTCTCCCAGGAATACATTACTGATTACCCATTATGATCCCCTTCTCATTTCCCATGAAGTTGTTTTCAGTGCAAAGAGGATGACTGAAGCAGAAAGAACAACAAGGTTATTTATTATTTATCAGGTATCATCATGTATAGCTGTCTAATGCCACACTTAATTGGTTGCAAACAGAAAAGGACAGAAAAGGCATTGGCAAAACACAATATAGACAAGAGTAGCATCCGTAGTTCTTTCGTCTCTGTTGAGAATCCCACTAAACAGACTCATACAGTATCTCCCTAATTTGCCATTGTAGAGCAGTAAAGGATGACAACCTCCAAGGTTTAAAATATAACATATTGATTCAATAAACTACAAGATAAAGCAAATTCTCTGA